ATGGGTTCCAGGCACCAGTGGGAGTGCTGAAAGGGATTATCTGATGCTTTGTGAAAGAATGAGGCTCCTGGATGAGAAATGAGGCCACGTCCCATAGGCCTTTAGGTCCCTTATGGAAGGTATTGCAGGCATTGGAAGGGTGTTGAGTAGGTGGGACCTGGGATGTCGTCCAGCCTGCTGCTACAAGTCCTCCGATGCTGAGCTGTTAAAAGTACACAAGACCCGGTTGTTACAGCGTGTGCTGAAAGGTGGGATATTCAGGTATGCCAGAGATGATGTTCCCCTAGCTAGGAAAACAGGGGGTTTATGAGTCTGCTGATTTGGGGAATCAGTGAATCTTTTCACTGCTTTCGGAGCAGCAGAGAATTGTTCCTCCTGAGGATCATTATTTGCACCTTGCTTGCAGGAGTGTTAGGTGTCAAGGCTTCAGAAGCAATATCAAGTCTTTGGAGGGATTTTGTAAAGGTGGGCAAAGGAAGCTCTTACAAATTCCTTTGCCCACCTTTGCCATGTTTATATTTCTCCTGGAGAGTGGATAGATTTGGGGATAGGAGGGTTTTAGAAAAGGCCAAAGAAGGGGTGGAAAACCATGCAGTTTAGCCAAAGGGATTGCCTTTAATGAAAATAACTTCCACGTTGCAAGGCATTGTGTAATTTCTAAACCTTGTGTCCAAAGCAGAGGGTTGGGCATCTTGTTTCGTGAGGTATGTTCCTGTTCCACCTCTAGCTTAGGGTGTTTCTTCATATGAGCAATTATGCTGCTTACACCTCAGTTTCCCTTCCTGCAGAGTGGAAAGAAAAGAGGTAGAGTCACTGCAGGTTTGAAAAGCTTAAAACATTACTTTCTGGAAGCTCTTAGAAGATTTCCTTGATGGAAGATGCAAGTTTAATGCAAGCGATGGTGATGTTGGTAAAAAACAGACCACATCTGTTCTACTTGATTAAAATAGTACAGCAGCATTTCAGATGTAAATATTAATTGATTTCTGCACTGCAGATTTCTTCTTGGATATTTAAATTGTTGCTAAGGAGGAGGGAAAGGCTATCAGGGAGATTAACAAATCCATTATTAAGGCTGGAAATGGAGGGCTGCCGAAGTGCCATTTAATAAAATGTAAAAAGCCCCTTTCTAAAGGGCGAAGCAGCAGAACACACAATGAAAGTGAATCACAGCTGCCAGAACGGATGCCAGGCAGCAAGCACTTATAATCAGAAAACTGTACTTACAGATCATTTGGAGCCACTAAATTAAATGATCTCATTCTCCCCTAAAATATTCTTCCCTTAGCCCCTCCCCAGTGTTGCCTGTGCTCAAGCACATTTAAAATGTGACTTTTAGGGCTTTTGGTCAGCAGTTGAATAGCATTGGGCTCTTCTTGCCACTCACTTTTCACTTTTGTTTCTGTCACACACAGCTCTGGCATTTTGCAGGCTGACCTGCCCACATGAGCACTTGGGACGACAACTGAAAGGTTTAGCAGATCTGCTTGGCTCTGCTTGTCTGCCTCTTTAGGGCTCCTTCTTGGGGAAGATGTCCCACAGCTCATACTCAAATTTGTCTTTGTTTCACATAGATTTTTTCTTCTAACTGTACATTGTTTACTTCAGAAACAAAGACTTGGAAGCTGAGCTGATGTGTAAGTGGGAGAGCCGATGCTACATCGTTTCACGCAGAACTGACCCTGCTGTTACTTCATTCCAATGCTGATTTTGTTCACCGTGTGTATTGTGTCCCCCTCCTTCTTACTCTTTCGTTTTGTATCTTAAACTTTGGCGTCAGGAGGCTAACACTTTGATATACTCCTACACTTCCTCTCCATTTTCCAGCTGTGGCTTTCCCTGGATAATCTCTAGAGTGGATTTTCCAAATATGCCATCGGAAAAGCTAGTGTCAGTGGATGCTGACAGAAACTTGTCTTGCAGAGATTTGGGGCTCTGTCATAGTTTTTTTGTGAGGGAGGGTTGGGGGTTAATGTTTAGGGCTAATCCTGAGAGGCAAATGGCTCCCTGGTTTTGGAAGCAGGTTAGAAGCAGCATAATTAGAGCCCGGAAATGCACTTGCGGAAGGGTATGCACACCTGTGTCCTTTTCTCTTTGTGAATAATCCAAAACCATACAAATAAGTCCCTGAAACTGATCAAGTCTGAAACTTTCCATGTGATTATAACTATCTGCTCTATCGGCAGTTCCCAGCATAGAAAAAAGAGGTGGAGAGAGAAAGAATACTTCCTTCCCTGAGTTCTTGTCCAGACAAAAGCCAATCTTTACGAGAGCTGTAGTTGGCTCAGGGTAGGTACGTGAATGGAGGCTGTCCTGCCTGAGTGAGGGCTGAGGCTTGCTTTTCCACAGAGCAGGATGAGGGAGGCATGACCCCAAAGGTGTCCCAGCTTCCTGTACTCTTCAGTGATCCCATCTTAAAAGAAGCAAAACAAATCAACCCTTTGAGATTGGGAGATGAAAAGGGCTGTGTAAGAACTGAATGGTGCTATTATTTTTACCTCCATCAGCTGCAAGCCTGCAGTTTTCTGAGAAAACCTCAGAAATGGTGAATCAGCAAAATGTGTTTAAAGAAAAGTTAGCTACCCTGAATCCATTTTTTTAGGCCTTCTTAAGTTGAGTGCTGCCAACTCTTGCAACTTCATCACGAGACTCCCAATACTTTGTGCTTTGCTTAAAGCTCTTGCTATTAGACAGGAACCACTAATTGATAACTTCAGGTTTTCTGGGAGTTTTAAGGTACTTTTCCAGGGTACTTTTTACCCATCGTGATGAAGGAATGCTTACAAATGTAACCTGTCATAGCCTAAAGGTTCAGACCCATGAAAATAATCCCAATTGGAACTACAAAACAGTCCTTTGAGGGTTTCTAAGTCAGTATCAGTTTGAGATTCTGATTATTGCTCTGAACCTTCTGATTCTGATTTTGAATGCTCTCTGATTGGGCCCTTTATGAGGGTAGATCAAACATTTCAGAGACCGGTATGATACAATTGAATGTTAACAGGTTTTTAAGCTCTATTCCAGCAAACGCTGAAGCTGGTAAAATTCAGAGTTAAATAAGTGGTCTCGAGGGCTTGTGCCTGTATGAAAATCAGGATGTAAATACTTGATTTAGGTGCTGAGAAGAGTGATCAGACTTCAAGGTATAGGTGTGACAGTATTTGTTCAAATGTTGAGTGGTCACTGTTGTTACTTGTTTACGTGCTGCTTCAAATACAGTGAAGACTGCTCTCTGTGACATCTGTCTATACTCTCAAAGGGCTGTGTTCATATCAGAAAATGGTGAGGTCCCAGAGCACCTTCAGTTCCATCTCCATGGGTGAGATGTGGGAAGCCCCCACCTTGTGGCTGCCGGTTTTCTTTTGTAGTCTCCTGGCTTTATTCTTGCCACAGTCCTGGCACTTGCACAGCCCTGGTGTGTGCAAGGGGAGGGATGAAGTGGCTGCAGGTCCCTCCTGCCTCTGAGGCCGCTAGTATGTTGGTGGAGCATGGAGCTCAGCCTGCAGGTGGTGGCCCTGGGAGGAAGCTGTGGCACACTCATCACCCCTCATGGATACTGAGTGCCGCTGGGCTTGTGCCACTGATGCACCAGTGCTGTGAGCTGGCAGGGAGGGAGGAAGGATGGAGCAAACCACCGCCACCTCAGGGCCCCGTGAGCACAGACATCACCTCAGGGCCTGGGTGAGCATGGAGCCATTACCTCAGGGTCTGGGTGAGCATGGAGCCGTCACCTCAGGGTCTGGGTGAGCATGGAGCCGTCACCTCAGGGTCTGGGTGAACATGGAGCCATCACCTCAGGGTCTGGGTGAACATGGAGCCATCACCTCAGGGTCTGGGTGAGCATGGAGCCATCACCTCAGGGGCTGGGTGGACATGGAGCCATCCCCTTAGGGCCTGAGTGAGCACAGAGCCATCACCTCAGGGTCTGGGTGAGCACGGAGCCATGACCTCAGGGTCTGGGTGAGCACGGAGCCATAACCTCAGGGTCTGTGTGAGCACGGAGCCGTCACCTCAGGGTCTGGGTGCGCATGGAGCCATCACCTCAGGGTCTGGGTGTGCATGGAGCCATCACCTCAGGGTCTGGGTGCGCATGGAGCCGTCACCTCAGGGGCTGGGTGAGCACGGAGCCATCACCTCAGGGCCTGGGTGTGCATGGAGCCATTACCTCAGGGTCTGGGTGAACATGGAGCCATTACCTCAGGGTCTGGGTGTGCATGGAGCCATCACCTCAGGGTCTGGGTGTGCATGGAGCCGTCACCTCAGGGTCTGGGTGTGCATGGAGCCATCACCTCAGGGTCTGGGTGTGCATGGAGCCGTCACCTCAGGGTCTGGGTGGCAGGAGCCTCACCTCAGGGCTGGGTGGCAGGAGCCTCACTCAGGGTCTGGGTGCGCATGGAGACGTCACTTCAGGGTCTGGGTGCGCATGGAGCCGTCACTTCAGGGTCTGGGTGCGCAGGGAGCCGTCACCTCAGGGGCTGGGTGCGCATCGAGCCGTCACCTCAGGGTCTGGGTGCGCAGGGAGCCGTCACCTCAGGGTCTGGGTGCGCAGGGAGCCGTCACCTCAGGGTCTGGGTGTGCATGGAGCCATCACCTCAGGGTCTGGGTGAGCACAGCCATCACCTCAGGGTCTGGGTGCGCATGGAGCCACCACCTCAGGGTCTGGGTGTGCATGGAGCCCCCACCTCAGAGTCTGTCCACCACTACATCAGGGCCTGGGCCAGGGCACAGCCATCACCTCAGGGTCTGGCTGGGCTTGGAACCATCACTGCAGGCATCATGGCACACAGCCATTGCTCGGGGCGGAGGGGGGGGGGGGAGCTCTGGGCCCCCACGCGTGTGTGTGCGGTGTCCCTATGTGTGTACCCCAATGCCGCCACCGTCCCGCGGTGCCCGGCTGCAGGCGGGAACTACATTTCCCAGGCAGCCCCGCGGGCGCGCTCCCGTGAGCGCCGGGCAGAGGTAAACAAAGTGGTGCGGGGCGGGGCGAGGGGCTGAGGGGCCGCCCCGGGTGGTTGGGTCCTGGCAGGGCCCGACGTGGGGTGAACCCGGGGCGGGGCCGGGTGTGGGTCCGGAGTAGCAGTTGTCTCCGCCGGGAGGAGGATCCCGGTCCTTCCTCCGGCATTTCCTCACGCGTTCCTTACCACCTCCGTGCGCCCATCCCAGGAGAGCCGCCCTCCTAACCCGCCCCCCCCACCTCTCCCCCCCCGGCCGGTACGGAGGGGGCTGTCGGTGTGAGGAGGCCCGGGGGCTGGGGAGAGACGGCGATCCCGCGGTGCAGCCCCCCGCTGCCGCCCCCGTTTCCAGCGAGGGGGCGGAGGGGGGCCCGGGGCTGCGGAGTGCCATGGAGCAGGTCCAGATGATCAACATCCAGCGGCTGCTGGAGGCGGCCGAGTATCTGGAGCGGAGGGAGAGAGGTAATGTGGGGAAGGAGGGGTGCTGGGATAACAGCCGGGGTAATGGGGGAAGCGGGGTTGGGGTCAGAAATCCCCGGCGGAAGGGTGAGAAGGGGATCAGAGCAAGTGCGTGCTGGAGGAGGTAAACCCCATCAGTGAGGGGTTTGATGAGGGATGGGGCTGACCCGTCCTTCCGGAGGTGGTGGCTGAGGTGGAAGGGAGAGAGGGGGAGATTCTGGCGGATGGAAGGAAAAGTGGTGTTTGGTGTCAAAGTTTCCCACCAGGATGGTGGTGGTGGCTCTGGCTTTGCGGAGACCTCGATGGCATGATGAAATGTGCCTGGTTTGCCTAGTTCAGATAGTTCAGACAGGAGCAGAGACGAGGTGCTCTCCGGGCTGTCCTGTTTTGATGTTTTCAGGTGTTTTAAGTGGCGCTGTCCTTCCTGCAAGGTTGGCAGAGCCTATGTATTCCCCTTCCTCTTTTCTGCACCTCCCAGTCCGCTTCCCTGTGAATACATCATCAGTAATTTCCCTGAGCTGTTGTGGTTAAGGGCCTCCCCAGCCTGACTGATGGGGCAGTGGTGAGGCCTGCCTGCTGCTGACTGCTGGTTTTTTCCTCTTTCTTTTGGTTAATAACCTTTTTTTTTATGCCCTGCCTGTTGATTCTCATGCAGAGTGCGAACATGGCTATGCCTCAGCCTTCCCCTCTGTTCCAAGCCCTGGACTACAAGACCCAAAGCCCACGCGGAGGCTGAGCCGGGCAAGAAAACACAGCGGCAGTGGCAGCAATGCAAGTCTTGCCAACAGGTACGATGTGGGCAGGAACACGTGGGATGCAGGGATGATGAAGCTGGAGAAGAAAGCTGGAGGCAGAGGAGAGAAACTTACCCTGTGGGGAAAAGGGGAAGAATCTGAGGGGGAGTTCAGAGCTGGGAGACACAAATACAGTGTCCATTCTAGGTCTGTGGCACTGAGAGCAGAGGGGACACAGGGGAGCTCTATCTGAAGTGGTACTGTCACCTGTCTCTGTGCCAAGGCTCAGATGCTGCAGAGGGAAAGGGAATAGGGAGATCTGCTCATAGGGCTGAGGGAGGAGGTAGGCAGTAGCTACACCCATTATACACAGCTGATGTCTTTCCAACCCAGAAGTCACTGCTTTTAAGGGATAGTATGTGTGCAGCCTGAGTGCACTGGGATTGTAATGACAGGCATGATTTGAAGCAAGAAAATGATATTTTGAAATGGATCCCCTACAAGAAACGGGAGAGAGGGAGATGGCTGGCTGCTATGTACAACATGTTAAAAATTCAGTTCAGGAAAACGAAGCTGTCTTTCACTCTGCCTTTCAGGGCAGCGGGGTTTCCCAGCTTTCTGATTGCTGGGTAATTGTAGAACTCCATGTTTTGACAGTTCTCTTATTATACGGTATTTCTTGGTTTCTTAAATCTTGAAGAGACAACAAGGTTAAGCCTGTCACTTGGTGCTGTGATAGAATCTGCCTCTCCCCTCTTTTTCTTGTTCTTTTTGTTTTCTTTCACTTCATTCTGTAGAATTGTTCAGACTTTGTTGAGACCTTCTGGGATAGAGAAACTTCAGAAACAGAAAGTATAATTTTGAAAATGTAATTGCAAGCTTGCTTTTACTGCAGCAGGGCTTGTGCAGTCCATAAAATAGTGGCAGGTGGCTCAGGTGATTAAAGCTTTCTTAAGGCCATTGGGAAGTGCCTGTAAAGGCCTAAGGGAAAGGTGCCTTTGCTTGCAGTGATTCTGCTTCAGCAGCATTTGATAATAAAGGTTCTTTGAAGTGATGTTAGGACACCTTGCTGTGGGGCGGTTTTCTTCATCAGGATCAGCATATCCTGAGCTTTTTGTGTGCTGTGTGTTTATATTTACTTCCATCCTTCATCCAGCCTCTCCTGATCTCAGAACAGCTGTAGTCATTTACTTTTTCCCGTGAACCAAAGTCCTGAATCCCAGTGACTCTGTGTTGGGGAATTCTGGCAAATGCTGAATTGAGATACACATTTTCCTCCTCTAGGTTTCTCACGTACTATTTTTCCATCCCACACCTCTTTCTCTCAAAGGCCTTTGTCATGGCAACCTGCCCTTCTCCAGAGCGGGGCTGGAAGCACATCCCCCTCAGGAGCTCCTTAGCATGGAATCCAGCAACTTGTAGGCTGGAGAGGGGTGCAGAACACTCCCTGTCCCTGGGGCCTGGGTGCTCTCATGGGGCACCTTTCTGTGTTGAGACCAGCTCACTGGGCTTACAGAGCTGAATATATTGATATGGGGAGAAAGGCAAGAGAAGCAGAAAAGATACTTTCTAGTGTTACTTAAAACTGTTATTATTCATGTAATACTGAGCCCAAATAGATTATTTGGAGTGAGATTGTTACCCAGTGTGGTGCCTCCCATGCTTGTTTCTGCCTCAGGGAGTGACCCAACGCCAGGTCTCCTCCAGACAGAGGCCAGAGTGGGTCTTTTGGGGAGCTCAGATCTTATAGGCACAGTTGGAAATGGAAGTTTCTTTTAGCACAAGTCGTAGCAGCTTGCACTTGCTGTAGGAGATGGCAGGCCTTCCAGATGGCTGCAGTGCCGGGAAGTGACAACTGTGAAGTTCAGGGTGCCTCCAAATTCACTGCAGTGTGTTTTGTGTGATGCTGAGTATAGCATCAGCCTTGTTTAAGGAAGGCTCTGTATCATCCCTTCCTGTTAAAATCAAAGGGACAATTCAGTAAGTTCTGTCTAGTGGAGTTTGAATGGATTTTGAATTAAACATCAAGCCTTGATGAGCGGTAAAACTTACATTTCATGTGTGGACAAGAGATTTTCTTAGATTGCTTTTGTCTCCAAATGTTTAATTTTGAGCATAACAGAGAAATTATGCATTTAGATTTTGTGCAGATCTTGTCATTTAAAGGTCTGTAAAAATGTCTCTTGATCAACCTTGCAAAGCAGGGTTGTTTTCTTTTTCTTCTTTACTTATACATTTTTACAAGTCAACATGTGTGCATTGCTGTTGGTCTTTATTGAACCAAATAATCCATGATTATGTGGTTCAGCGTATTTACAGAGCCTGGATGCTGTGTAATTCATAGTTTAAATCGAAGTATTTCCCTTCAGAATTTGCAGCCCAGACATGGGCTCTATGCTGTCATGTCATGAATACGCAGAGAAGTTCTGAGGAGCAGGCAGCCCAGCTCTGGATGGCAGTGGCAGAGCAAATCTTATTCTTATAGAATGTAATGGTCTCCCAGTCCCAGCAAAATAGTTCTATTTTCTACCCTGAACAGGGGTGTGCAGATAGGAGGGAAAACATTGCTTCAGTATTTCTCATTTTCATGATGCATTTTTAAGGGGGATATTTTATCTCAGTCATGCAGCTGGCAGCAGATACGATGCAGAGGGCTTCCCCTCTGCAATCCTCCGGACATTATCTGTAGGGATGTGCAGTGTTTTACATGGGTATTTTCAAGACCTCATGTTGCAATCTGAGAGTTAAAACCTGACTATATTTAAAACTATGCAGTCTTGTTTTAATCAGGGGTATTTAGGTACTGAAACTGACCCACCTGCAAAAATATGTGGAGAATTGCAGTCTTTGTGACCTGGAGTTCATAAGAAACACAGGAAACTTTTTGTTTTAAATCCCCTATAGCACACAGCTAAAAGCAAAACCACAAGCAGCTCAGTTAGCCAACTTTTATCTTATTAGTATTTAATTTTGTCACTTTTTTTCATTTGTTCTTGACAAAAATGTCTTCTGTTTTTTTGGACTGGGATGAAAAATGAACAGGGATTTATTGTAACATACAGGATCACTGATTTAATGTTCAGTCCTTCTGAAGACGTTTGTGGGGCAGAAGCTGAACTCTGTAAACTTCCTGGAGAAGTGAAGTAGCCCGTGCTGGGAGTACAGTTCTGTGGGCACATCACATCAATGTCACTGGAAGCTGCTCTTAGGGACCCTCTATGTGCAGTTCTAAATAGACCCAGTGATTTGAAAGGTTCATTATAGTTAGTTAGGATTAGACTGGTTTGATATTTATACATTTTGGAAAATAATTGAGAAGACTTTTTAATCAATTTAAATCGTTGTGTCAGCAGGAAATAAAATGAACAGCAGGGAGGCAAAATGATCCCCCCCCTTCATACAGTCAGTTTAATGAAGTTAAGATTTATAACAGGATCTGAAATTACGTTGCAATATTAGATTGTCCTTTGTGTTTTGTTTTTATTTAGCCTCTCAGGCATGCAGAAAAGCCTGTTAGTTTTTGGCCTGATCCTGGGGAAATGCCAGGCACCCCCCCAGCAGCATTAGGAGCCCTCAGCTCTCCCGGGAGGCCTGTGTTAAGGGCACTCAAAGAATCTATTGCTCAGTCCCATGGGGGAGGGTTTGATCTCTGTCCAGTTTCTTTTTCCTTTCACTTTCCTCTCTTCCCATTATCCTCCCTTGTGTTTGAGGCTACTTCCCAAAGGCCTTTCAAACAACTGCAGCCCAGTAGCAGGTTGGAAGCAGCAGCTGTAATGGGCATGGTAAGGCATTTTGGACACGGTATCTTGCACATTTGGGTGTCTGGGTTTCTCTGCTCTTCTGGCTATTCTAGTGATGCAGCTCATTTTCTCTGTCATTGCACTCTCTTCTGCTACATCTGAAACTTCTTTTACATGCTTCTAAATCCCATCACTTGGTTTTGTGCTTAATCTTCTCTGCAGCCCTCCACTCTCGTAACCTTTGAAGCTGTTTTTTGAGGGTAGGAGTGGGCTTTAAGCTTAATTTGCTCACAGTGTCCCTGAGCAAGGATTGAGGGGGCAGGTAGGCTTGCATTAGGTGCCTCATGTGATGGCTTCATGTGCCACAGGCTCACTAACAGGGATGCAGAAGCTGAGAGGATGTAGCTTCTGTCGCTAGGTGCAAGTCAACCTTGGCTGGCTGGTGCATGAGAAAGCCTGATTTCCCAGAGCAGCAGTTCTGTACAGCTGTACCTCACTGTGCAGAGGAGGAGTAAGGGGGTTGCTGAGCACTTGCTTCAGCATGGTTTTAAATATATTATGTCTTTTTCTGTCAGAGGAGATTCCCTTCCCCCCCATTGCTCTGATGGCTGAGCACCTGCCAGTTCTCAGTCCTTCCTACAGCCTCTGGAGTTAAGACAGTGCTGATTTCACTGGGGGAGAGGAGGCACAGGGGCCTGTGTCTCGTGTCAGAGATTCCTGAAGAAGCGAGTTGCTCTGTCAGCCCCTGTTCGTCTACTGTTCTGCACAAAGCCCCTTACCCCTTTCTTCCCATCCCAGAGATCTGGTCTCAGGCTTTTTGTTGACAGCTTTGCTGCTTCCTTCCCTGTATCAGTTGTTATTTGTTTCTGGGTGGTACTTGGTTTATTTGCTGTTGAGTGCTTTTTCTTTTTTTTCAACTACTTGCACTCATACTGGATCACACCTTACTCCACAGCTACTGGGAGCTGAGTTTTGACTCGCTGTGTGTAAGTGGGTTAGAATCTGACCCTTGTGTAATATGCTGGGAATAGAGACTGCTTTTTGTCTCAAGTCTTGTAGTGCCAGGGAGCTTTATTGATGGCTCAGGACTTGGCCTTGCTTCATGGAGTACAAATACCACATGTGTAAACCAGAGAAGGGATGAGATTTGCTGTGCCATGTTTTGACTTATGCCACATTTTGATAAATGGGATTACTATGTGGAATCTTCATGCTGCTGTTGAAATTTTGGCTAAAAAGAGTTGGAGATGGGACCTTATCTTCCAGGAGAGAGCAGTATATGAATATGCTAGTTAATTTTTCAAGAAAGGAAAA